TTTTGAGATTGCATCCAAGTACTGCATTTTGGACTCTTTTGTTGACCATGATGGCTACTCCATTTCTTCTAAGGGATTCCTGCCCACAGTAGTAGATATAATGGTCATCTGAGTTAAATTCACCCATTCCAGTCCATTTTAGTTCACTGATTCCTAGAATGTCGACATTCACTCTTGCCATCTCCTGTTTGACCACTTCCAATTTGCCTTGATTCATGGACCTAACATTCCAGGTTCCTGTAAGTCTAGTTAATCATTGAACCTGTCGATGCCTTGGGGACCCTGAACTGCAGAGATTCATTCATATTATTTCGTATAGACTGCTAAGTGGTTTTCCAAAGTTTCTTCATTCTCCACCTGAGCTGGTGTTCTCTAGCTTTTGGCAGTTACAAATAAAACTGCTGTAAACATCTGAGAACAGATTTTTATGTGAACACAGATTTTTATTTCACAAATACCCCAGTGATAGCTGAATTATCTGAACAGTTTAGCTTTATAAGAAACTACCAAACAAGGTTGGAAAGTGGTTGTACCGTTTTGTATTCCTCCCAGCTACTCCTGGATGAAAGTTCTAATTGCTCCTCATCTTCCTCAATATTTGGTATTGCCAGCTTTCATTTTCCTTTAATTTTAACCATCTTAATAGATGTGTAATAGTATGTCATCATAGTTTTTCTTTACATTTCCCTAATAACCAGTGATATTCAGTGTCTTCATGTACTTATTTGCCATTTGTATTTCTTACTTGATAAAGTATCTCTTCAAATTTTTTGCTCAGTAATTTTGTTTTGTTTTTTAAATTAAGTTTTGAGAGTTCTCTAAATTTTCTGGATACCAATCATTTATCAGATGTGTGGCTTGTAGATAATTTCTCCTAGTATATGAAGTTTGGAATTGTTAATTTCACTAGTGTTTAATTTTGAATCTTATGGATTTCAAGAAATCTTAGCCTCAATCAGTATGAAAATTGTCTGTTTTATTCTTAAAGATGTTTAGCTTTTCAGATACTTTAGGTTTATAGTTCAGTTTGAATTAATTTTATTATTTTTAGTATATGGTGTGATGGATGAAGGGTTTTTTTTAATGTATGAACATCTAATTGTTCTAATTATTGATTATTTTCTCAGCTCTGTTAAGTCTGAACCTACCAAAGACTTTAAAAATTATTTTTAGTGCAGTTCTTGTTTTGAGCATTTCAGTTTGACTCTTTTAGCATTTCTGTTCAACCCTTGTACTTTCTGTCTCTGACTTGCCATCTATTATGCATATTGTTTTTCTGCTCCATTTGAGCCTTCATCATTATTCATAATTATTTTTAATTTCTTGGCTGATAGTTCCAACATATGAGTTACATGATTTGCTTGCTCTTCAGATTTTGTGTAATTGTAGAATTTTTTTGGAAAGAAGGTAGGAAATTACTTTATTTGAAGTAATAGTACAAATCAAAGAACTTGGATGTATGTATTTGTATAAATTATAAAAAAGGTAATGATAACCCAGCATGCATGCATTACCTTGGTGACCAAGGAAACCACCCCCATGGGGAGGCCTACACTTTCGATCAAATGCCAGCTGTCATTTGCATGCTGATAGAGACTGAAGTATATAGTATTTATGCCAAGGAGTAGGCATGACACTTGATCTATTAAATTGTTAGTATGGGGAGTTGAATCAGTCTTGTCTGAAGTTGATGATTTATGGGTTTTTTTGTTGTTGCTTTGGTTACCTTCAGTGTATTGTCAACTCTTAAGTACTTCTGTCATCACTTCATCCTTAAGGTGCGAGTTGATTTGCTGAAAAGTTTCACTCAATGTTTTTACTCCACCTTTATCCTTAAGCCTTACTTGTACATCTGAGACTCAGAGAGGTTCTGTCTGTACTCTTGCTCCTTCTCGTTTAGTAGAGTGGTAATGCGTGTTACTGGGAGCTTGTTTGCCTCGTGGTAGGCTCGAGGCCCTGGGAACTATTTAGCCTTGTGGTGGTGGGCAGCAGACCTTGTTTTTCATCCTAGACCAGTGTTAGTTTCAGACAGGCTCTGTTTTTCTCTTGTCAGTAATCCTGCTTTTCCCCTGATAATGGTTGACCTCTGTTGTTTGGGGCCAGGATGACTTCCTTTCCTTCCCTCAGGGGTAGATATGACCTTCTAATTTGAGGGAATTATAAAAGTTTGAAACATAAAACCACCAGAAGAAAGTACGGAAGAATACTTATGTATTTTCCAAGGATGGCTTAACGTTGAAACAAAGATTTTGGCTTATTTGTGTCAAAATTTTAAACTAGTGAATATCAAAAAGTGCAAGTGGGGAAAGAAACATCCATGCACATTTAGCTGTATAAGTAAAGTAAATGATTTTGTAAAAGTAAATGATTTTCAGATAATTTTTGTAATTAGAAGAATTGAAAAATGGATTTTTAGCTATTACAAACAAGAATATGCAAAGTAAAGGTTTCTAATATAAAGGTTATTTGCAGTGCAGAATGTCTCTTAAAAATTTCTCCATTTGAAGTTAGTTCTGCTAGATTATTTTAATATGATAGTTTTAAGGGCAGATTTGGAGAGAAGAGGAAGGAAGCATTTCTACAAGGGTTTAAAACTGTTTAATTGGGAAATTCTTTGGTCTGTATTATTAGTTTGCATGTATTAATGATTAATATGTGTGTCTTCTGTGAGATCTTTGAGAGAGAAACTTTCAGGTTAAAAACATTCGTTTTCCTAAGCAAGATTATTACATTCTATCAATCTTTTAAGGGCTTCCCAGATTGCACTAGTGGTAAAGAACCCATCTGCCAATGCAGAAAACAAAAGAGATGCAGGTTCAATCCCTGGGTTGGGAAGATCACTTGGAGAAGAAAATGGCAACCCACTCCAGTATTCTTGCCTGGAGAATCACATGGACAGAGGAGCCTGGCAGGCTACAGTTCATAGGGTTGAAAAGAGTCAGATGTGACTGAAGCAGCTTAGCACATTGGTCCTTTAATATTTTTCAGGTTTGAACCTACCATGTATCAGGAGAGTGTACTTGGCTGCTTGCTGGATTATTCAGAAGCTTTAGAAGCAAATTCTTAGAAACTTAGTTGATGACGTTCGCCTCTACTTTTTCTGTACATTCCTAGAAAAGCAGAGGGCTTTGCCCACAGTGTACAGTAGTTAGTGATAGTAGTAACATAGCCTTCCTGGCACTTGCTCCTCATTACGCTCCATGTGTGCCTGCTTCCCTGGTGGCTCAGTGGCAGCGAATCCACCTGCCAACGCAGGAGATGCAGGAGACCTGGGTTCAATCCCTGGGTCGAGAAAATCCCCTGGAGTAGGAAATGGCAACCCACTCCAGTATTCTTGTCTGGAAAATTCCATGGACAGAGGAGCCTGGGTTACAGTCCATGGTGTCACCAAGAGTCTGACACAATTGAGCACACACGCGTGTGTAACCACTAATTTCATAGTTGTACATTTGATGTATAAAACATCAGTTTGTAAATGGCTCTGTGGCATGGGGATTGACCATTTTAACCTTAGTGTTTGCATACTTTGTGAAAAGAGAAGTTGGTTAGCTTTCTGAATATTTCTTTTGGCCATTTAATTGTAGGTAATATCAAAATGCGCCCTGGAATAGCAGAATGTTTTGGGGACGTTGATTTGAATTTTAAGTTGGTAGTTAAAGTTTTTTTGAGGTCTCTTTTTTATGTGTGTCAATTGTGATTTATAAAGAAAATAATCTAGAGGCCCCCAAATACTGAGCTGCTGTGAACATGGGCCTTAGAATTGGAGCACTGTTTTATACACTCTTTAATTGAATAAGTAAATCACCTGTAATAGTGAAGCACACGTGGAGGGAGAAGACAGTGCTTCCCTCTGTGTAGAGTAATTTATTTTTATCGCATGTTTATGTTATGTAGCACTACATGTAAATCCCATTATATGTAATCATGTGGCTTTTTCTAGAATATGCCAAAGAAAGAAATGACTACAGATTTCTCATATTTCACTGCCAGACCTTGTTTGTTTTGATTTTGTTTCTTTGAAGCCAAATGCCATTAATTTAAGAATTGTGCCTCAAAACTGTGTGTTCTTGATCATAAACTTTAATCTGGAAAGGAACATCAGTAGAATATAGTTAGCTTGCTGAGCTTTTGAGTCATTACTTTTTAATTTAGGTTTTACTTTGAGTTTTCCTCATTTATAGCTTCAAATACACGTGTAGACACTGTTTTACTTAACTAAGTTCGACGGATGTAAACAGCCGTTCTTTGGGACTTTCAGTTTTGCCACTACTTACTTGTAGCATAGTGAAGGCTTGTGAGGACAGATACATAACCCTTTAGGAATGTAGCCTGTTAAGTGAAGAAGCTAGTGTTAAGTTGAAGACACAGAGTACAAACTGCCGTCTAGCATATTTTAATGAAAGTTAATAGTGGACGCATTTCTGAGAGGGGTGATGAACACACAGAAAAGTGCTCCGGGACGTTCTGGGAAGACTTGCTGTATGCTCGGCGGCAACTTTTCATTTTTTTTTTCTTATAGTTCCTCATTCAGTAGGTTTGGATATTTTCAGTGCTATTATACTCATTCTTTCTAAATTAAAAAAAAATTATCATTAAAAATCAGATTTAGTCTTATTTTTAATAGAAAAATATTGAAAAGTGATAGATCCTGTGCATCCATAATATAAATTAGAAACTAGGTAACAAATGTGGAGGCCCAGTAGAGATTTCTTGTTTTCCCCTACTTTTCTATCTTCTTACCTTCAGTTCTTCTCTCTTCCTCTTGCTCCTTCCACATAGCATCAAGAAGACAAAGTTATATTCGTATGTACTTAGCATCAAGAAGACAAAGTTATATCGATATGTTGGCTGTGTCAAAGACATTATTTGAGACTGTTCTCTTTGGAATACTAAGAATAGGCTGGTGTTTTGCATATATATTACTTACAGGATCATTTTGGGATTTGCATTAAATTGGTACTTTAGTAACAATGTGAGCTCTTCTGGTGGATTGTAACTCTTTCTCTGTGTCTCTTTAGAAATTATTCCTAGGAACCACCTTGCTTTTCTGGTGAAGCTCAAGTTTTGTGAAGGCTTTGCATTGTACCTCCATGATGAAATGAGATAATGTATGTAAGACATTGTTATAAAGGTGATGAATAACCCTATAGAAAGAACATGAACTCTTATTTATGATTATGGCTCTCAATTTAGAGATTGTAAGTTCTCTTAGATGCGTTGGATTTATTAATAGAAAAAGGCATATAGTATATATATATTTGGCTATTCATTAATTCAGCAACATGTACTGAGTATTTAATATGCACAAGTCTTGGATGCTGGGAGTATTGTTATGAACAAGATAAACTGTCCTTGCTTTTATGGAACTTACGGTTTACCAGGGGAGACACATATAAAACAATCATTTACACAATAAATGTTATATATACAGTTGTGATGAGTGCTAAGACAAATGGGAAAAGTTTTGAAAATCCATATTTGATGGTTTGATAATCTTGGGATCAGGTGGCTTCCTTGAGGAAGTGACATTTGAGTTACTTTATATTATTGTAAATGTGATCGAAAAGTTCAGTTTAAATAAGTGCTTAAGGAAATACTGAAATAAGCGGTTTGGGACTTTTTTGGTGGTCCAGTAGTTAAGACTCTGCTTCCACTGCAGAAGGCATGGGTTTCCATCCCTGGTCAGGGAACTAAGCTCCAGCATGTTGCATGATGTGGCCAAAAAAAAAAATTTTTTAAGATATAATAATAAACATGGTAACATAAATTTTTTTTTAACATAAATTTATGTTCCATTCTGTTCTTGGTATTCCATTTGCAGAATTCACTTGAAATTGTTGACTTTCTCCATTTTAATATTGGCTTCCACAGTTCTTAGATATACTTGTATGAGTCTAAGACTTTATAACCCAATCCAAGCTTTACATTTGACAATAAATAAAAACTTGCAAGTTATAATGGATTTGAAATATTTTTTTAAATGCACTAAATTTACCTTGTATGCCATTCCAGTAATACTTCTTAACTACTAAACCAACCAAGGCATTTCTATTGTACATTCTTCTTAGACTGAACTTCTTAAAGGATAGAGGCCCTATCTCCAGAATCTTGCAGGATGTGAGACACATAGTGTAAAATAAGTAAATCTATTGTGGATAACCTGTGTTAAATAAGGATGAAACAGCTTGGTATCTGACTTTCCTGTTTCTTTTAACTTACTTTTTAGCCTAATACCGGGGCTTGGACTAACAAAGTCTGGTTTTGAATACCAGTTCCTTAATGTGTAATCTTAGGCAAATAAACTTCTGTAAACCACATCTTCACCTTAAAATCATGGGACTTCCCTAGTGGTCCAGTGGTTAAGATTCCGCACTTTGAACACTGGTGGCTGGGGAAGTAATATCCCATATGCCTTGAGGCGAGGCTAAAAAAAAATGAGCTGAATAAAATAAAATGAGATTATTTGTATAAAGTGCTTAGCACAGTGTCTAACATATCATAACTGTTCCAAAAATGGTGGCTAATATTGTTACAAGATACAGATCTTCTTCCTCTTACAATGGGGTAACTTCTAGATGAACCCATCAGAAGTGGAAAATACCCTAAGTTGAAGATGCATTTAAAACACCTGATCTACTGAACATCCTAGCTTAAGTTTACCTACATTCAATTCAACATGAATACTTTCATAAGCCTAGGCAAAGTCATCTAATGCATAGCATATTTTCTAATAAGGTATTGCATATCTCATGTAATTTATTGAATCCTGTACTGAAAGTGGAAAGCAGAATGGTTGTATGAGTATAGAAAGGTTTTAAGTGTACATCACCTGTTAACCTTTGTGGCTTGACTGGCTTGACTAGAAGCTGCAGCTTCCTGCCAAGGCCCAGCATCAGGAGGGAGTATTGTACTGCTCTTAGCCTGGGAAAAGATTAAAATTCAGAATTCAGAATAAGGTTTTTACTGAATACATATTGTTTTCACACTGTCCTAAGGTCAGAAAATCCTAGGTCAAACCATTCTTGAGTTGGGGATCATCTGTGTATGCACTGAATTTTTTTATCCGTTTTATCTCTGATGTTTAAAACAGACACATGTAGTGACCCAGGATACTGGCATATGTTAGAATAGCTAACTGGCTCTTTCTATAATTAAACTGAATCAAAAAGAAAGAAGTTAATAACTAGTTGGCTGTTTTGAAACCAAACTTGATGAACTATTAATTATTTATATGTGGGTAACTGTGGCCCATATTGTAATGAATGTTATCTTTCTTTGTAAGTCAGTTTTTTTATACAGTAAACCAATAAATTTTTGTGGCTTTTTAAAAACCAAATAATCCTACAGTGCATTTGGATATAGGAAATTTGCCTGAATTGATAACATACATGTATATGGATATATTTATAAACATATTTGGATTTGGGAATGGAAAGAGTAGAAGCTGTAGTCTGTATATCTAAATTTTCAGCTTCTGTAAACTTATTTTAAACACTTCTCTGTTACTGTCTTCGCCTGTATAATGAAGTTAAGTTCAGTCGCTCAGTCGTGTCTGATTCTTTGCGACCCCATGAACCGCAGCATGCCAGGCCTCCCTGTCCATCACCAACTCCCAGAGTCCACCCAAACCCATGTCCATTGAGTGGGTGATGCCATCCAACCATCTCATCCTCTGTCATCCCCTTCTCCTCCTGCCCTCAATCTTTCCCAGCATCAGGGTCTTTTCAAATGAATCAGCTCTTCCTATCAGGTGGCCCAAGTATTGGAGTTTCAGCTTCAACATCCGTCCTTCCAATGAACATCCAGGACTGATAGAATGAAGTACTACAACTTATAATTTTAGTACTATTAGTATAACTCTTTCCATTTACCAATATTGACAGTTTCTGACTATCTTTATGAAAGTAAAGGATGTAAGGGAATTCAGTGGAACAAATATTTTAAGGTTTCAGATTTGACTTTACATTTATTTGTATTCCGTTATGTGTTATACTTTACACATTTGATTATGTTTACACTTATGATTTGCTGGCAAAAATAATGTAAATACAGTTGAATTTTTTTTAACAACTTGGGGGTTAGGGATGCTGACCCTCAGTACAGTAGATCTGGAATACTTAGCATTTGGCCCTTGGTGTCAGAGGTTTTGCATTTGTGGATTCAACTGGATAGTGTAGTACTATAGTACTTACTGAAAAAACCTGTGTTTAAGTGACTCCACATTTCAGTTTCATTTTGTTCAAGGGTCAGCTGTACTGCCTGAAAGAAAGCAAAGGATGCCAGCAAACAACAAAAATCCATTAAGGCCTTTTTATTTTACAGTAAAAAAAATGAATTTCAAGTTTTTCCGTAAGCAAAATATCCACAAATTAGTGATTTTTGTTTTTGTTAAACCCTAGGTACTAATTGTAGTCAAAGGATTCATAGACTACTATCTGGAATATAGTTGTAAGTACATAAGATGTTTGGATTGAAAATGTTAATGAAGATATATTATACGACCATCTGAAAAACTTTGTTTCTGCATTTGAAATGTTTTGACTTTGATTTGCATGCTTTTCAGGACACTCAAAAGGACAGCATTCTACATGTCTAGGGGGTTCCTAGGGGTCCGTTTACAGGAGTTTGCCTACAAAACCCCAAGCACCTTTATGTAAGGCAACCTGACAATCTCTCCTAAAAGTGAATGATATTTATGTGGTAATAGTGTTATTTGCAGCTTTTCTCAAATGACTTTATTTATATTTTCTCACTTGCTCCTAGAATATCACTGAGATTAGGAAGCAGGCAGTTTCAGTTAAGCATCTGTGTCATGCCAAAGATCACAAAGCAAGTCATTGATAATTTGGTATCTGAATGTCAGTCTTCTTATTTTTTCCCCTCTTTCCACATGTTAGATTATTTTCACCAGGTTATTTTACTGGTTCCTTAATCCAAGTTGAGATTTTAGAAATCTTAGCCTGTAAGGTGATTTGCTAAGTATTATACAGTACGTACTGAAAGAGTGGACTTGGAAGTTAAAGATTGCACGATAAAACTAGGTTTTTCTCTCAACTTGCCAGTATGCATTTCTCGACATGGTTTTCCTTTATTACAGTTCTACATTTGGCCTTTACTGCTACTGCTAAGTCACTTCAGTCGTGTCCGACTCTGTGTGACCCCATCCCTGGGATTCTCCAGGCAAGAACACTGGAGTGGGTTGCCATTTCCTTCTCCAATGCATAAAAGTGAAAGGTGAAAGTGAAGTTGCTCAGTCATGTCTGACTCTTCGTGACCCCATGGACTGCAGCCTACCAGGCTCCTCCGTCCCTGGGATTTTCCAGGCAAGAGTACTGGAGTGGGGTGCCATTGCCTTTAAAGATTAGCAGAATTAGACCATGATGATTAAAATCTGCAAAGAACTCTTCCTTGTAATTTAGGTTTTTAACCTATTAGGAGTGGCCATGTAGTTTCCATTTCAAAAACAGCTTAGGTGTTGTAAGAAGTGCACAAAAGCCTTATGTCTATTTAAAATATTCAGATTTCTAAATTCCTTTAAAAAGGTAACTTTTCGTGGAGGTTTAGAAAAGTCTTTAAGAAACTGAAATTTAGAATAGATTTTTATTGTGCTAGAAGAATTTTGGGAGCTGCTGTAATCATTAGTGGCCCTGGAAATAAAACCCACAACTGGGATTTTAAAAATTATCTTTAATAAAAGTATGTCAGAAGATTTCTCACTGACATCAGTATGGATGCTTGATTTAGAATTCAACGGTGAGATCAAAGAAGTAATTGTTCCAAGTTGGAGATGTGTGCTGGATGGATTACAACGTCCTGTTGTGATTGGACGGGAAGTAAACATTATTCTCCTGAACTATGATTGGCTAAAACCCTTTTCTTTCCACGATATTTTTCTAACAACTGGATCCAGAGCCTTTCCAAACCGTTTTTATTGTCACACCAACGTGTTTGGGGTATGTACTACTATTAAAAGTACTCAAATGCACGGAGAAACTGTTCGTAAATTTTAAGAATGTTGATAAAAGTCCTCAACCGGGTGTTTGGCTTTCTTAAAGCAGTAGCGAGGTGTAAATCTCTGAATAGCTCAAACCCGTAATGAGTGTTAGGTTTTTCCTTGTAGCTCAGCTGGTGAGGAATCCGCCTGCAATGTGGGAAACGTGGGTTCGATCCTTGGGTTGGGAAGATCCCCTGGAGAAGGGAAAGGCTACCCTCTCCAAATTCTGGCCTGGAGAATTCCATTGTATAGCCCATAGCGTCGCAAAGAGTCGGACACCATTCAACGTCTATTGAGTGTCGCCCCAAACAGGAAATATGAAAGGATGACAATATTTTCTTCATTTTCATTTAAAGACGTGTACTCTGTTTCTGCACTGACTTGAGTTCTGTGGGCTTAGTTTTCAGTTGGAAATGTTGCTCTGCGTTGCTGCTGGGACTGCGGGACTGTTAATTCAGGCAGAATCCGGGCTAACTCAGACTGCAGGGCGCCATTTGTTCGGGGCGGGGGGGGGCGGGGAATCACTCTGGAGATGCGGCTGTTAATCTGGAGTTTGTTTTGCGACGCAGAGTAGAACCAGTACACTTCACTTTCACCTCACTCAACCCCCCACCCCAAGCCCCCACTTCTCAGGAAGCGACGAGTAGAGAAGTGGCCCCAACACTACGTTTCTGAAGGAGTACAGTCGCCTTTCCCGCCCCTACTTTTCTTTTCTCAAATCCAGTCAGGTCCCGCAGCCGCCGCGTCGGGCACTACTTTCCGTCCGCGGTGGTGCTCCGACCCTTTCTCGCGGCTCCCTCCCCCCAGCCCGCGCCGGCGGAAGGAGACGCGCGGCGCCCTCGCAGCCACGCTAGTGGATGGGGAGGCGGAGTAGTACTGGCCGCGGCGCGGTGGCGGCAGCGGCCGGAGCTGCGTCGGGGTCTCAGACGGCGTGTGGAAATTTGTCAATTTCTTTCATTTGGGGAACTGTAGCTAGAGGCTGCAGGTCGGCGAGTACAGGGCAGTGTTGAGGACTGAGTGACTGAGGTCGTTGTGCCCTTCTGGGCAGAGCGTCCGGTGCGCCCTCGAGTCTGCGCTCGCTCGCGGGGCCGCCGCCTTCCCCGGGTCCGCTGTCTTCAGCATGGACAGCCGGTAGGAGCGGGGTTTCGTTGATCCCTGGCAGCCGAGGAGGCGGCGGCTGCTTTGGCAGTGACGGCTATGGCGGTGGAGACGCGGCCGGAGCTTGTGGGGAAGCGGTTCCTGTGCCTGGCGCTCGGCGAAGAGGCGCGGCTGGAGCGCGGGGAGAGCGGCCGCTGCTGGCGGGGCTGGCGAGCGGGGGTTATCCGAGCGGTGTCGCACAGGGACAGCCGCAATCCCGACCTGGCGGTAAGAGCGCGGACACCCCTCAGTCTGCAGCCCGCGGCCGCACCCCCACTCGTGGTCCCGCCGCCGCACAGTGTGGGCTTACCCCTGGCACCTGGCTCAGCCGGGCCAACTGGCGGTCACGCCCCTCTCCTGCGCTCTTGGGCGGGTTTGCCCACATTCCCTGCCGGGGTCTCCACCTCCCCCACGAGTAGCTTCTCGTGTGGAGGCGGTGATCCGGTGGGATTCCCCGGCGCCCGCCAGGGCCGTTCGGCCACTGTCCGGGTGGGGTTCGGCCGCGGCTTCCCCTGCGGTGCCCCGGCGGCCGCGGAAACCTTACGGAAAGGCGGGGCTGCGAGCCCGGCGCAGCGCGTGCAGGTGGGGGTGGGGGCGGGCCGCTCGTGGCGGTGAGGGGCCGGCTTCACCAGCGTCTGTTTGCAAAACTCTTTAACGGTGCAGAGGGGGAGATTTAAAACTTACCCTTAAGGTTGCTGAAGTGTTGGGGGGGGTGGGGGGGAGGAAAGAAAAGAGGTCTTTGGTTTTCCAGCCTGTCTTGAGATTCGTCTGTATTTTCGAGGCAAAGGCCTTGGCAGCGGCAGGTGTCCTGAGTAAAGCTTTTTTATACAGTATATGCTTGGTTTTCTAACCGGAAATGAAGAAAGTGGAAAATTGAGGTTTGGAGGATCGTAGAAATTAATATCTCTCTCCCTCCTTCCCTTCTTTCCTTGGGATTTTTTTTTTTTTCCCATAGTTTTTGTTGTAAGAAGGAAATAGTTCTTTAAAGTCATCCGTTCCTGGGTTTTATATGACTTTAAGTGAAACGAGGTATTGTAAATTACAACGTTTAATACCCCCGCGAAACCTTAAAGTGGCTTTTTCTTTGCTTGCTTTTCCTTACATGTGACACTGCCAATAGTTTCTTTCAGTAGTGTAGGAATGTGCAAGATTCTGAGACGGGATACGCTGTTAGTGTTCCAGTAACATTTTCAGTAGGGGACAGAGTGGAGTTAAGGAGCCAAGTAGAGGCAGGGCATTGGTAGGTTTTGAAAGATTGATTTATGAATACGTAATCCATGAAGTTTATTGGTAATATCCTGGGGTATTTTTCACTGAATATTTAGAATTTGGGAACTTTTATCTTTTTGTTTATGTGCATGTTTACAATTCTGAAATTTCTTTAGTATCTATACGTGTACATACCTAATATTTTTGTTGGAGGTTTTGAGTCTGTTTTCCTTAAGCCCAGTTTCATGAATGTAGTCAGTGATATGGTTTCTTGCTGCCTGTATTAATGTCGGCTTAATATTGCAAAGCATGTTTACAGAATAGAGGTAATTTTGGAGATTCTGGTGGGTTATTCTCATTGGAAAAAAAAAAAACAGAATCAGCTTTAAAAAAAAACAACCCAAACATTTCTTAACGGTGCTACAGACTGACAGTTCAGTGAATTTGCGTAAAAAGCTTGTGTTGATTTTATTTTTCTTCCTTTTACTCTGATATGTAATTGTCTTGACTTCATGTGGAAGATAGATTATGGGTTAACATTTTTAAATGGTTTCAAAACAAACATGGAATGATATTTTGTTTTCCACAAATTTTTAGTAGATGAGAATTGGGAGATATAGTTTTAAATTACGAGTATCACTGGTGACAGTCAATTTATCAAAGTTAAATATGTTAAAAATTTATGTGAAAATTTAAATGATATAAAGAGAGGGGAGTTTTCAAATACTGTGTTTGAAAAGGCAAGGTAATAGATTAGGTATTGAAAAATGAAAAGTATATGTGGATGGAGGAAATCGGCTGGAAAGAGCAGGAAGGAGTTTTCTCAGATAATGGAAATGTTTTACATCTTGATTGTTGATTACATGTGTGCATACATATATTAAAACTCATTGAATTGTGCACTTACTAACTGCATTTCATTTGTGCAAATTTTACCTCAGAAATGTGTTTTGAACTATACTGTAACTGTGAACCTTTTACAGTTTTCCTTTAACTATCTTAAAAAAATTTACAGAGTAATCTGAGTTTTTAGCTTGGAACCTACAGATTTAGAGTTATTTTCAAACTTTATTATATTCATCTTTCTTTACATTCATGTTACCTAAGTTAAATGGAACTTGAGACAATTTAGCATCACCAAAATGTAATTTGGATGGTATATTTTTGTGGCTGCAGAATGAATCAAAGCCAAAGGAGCTTGATCAGTTATATGAAAAACACTATCAAATAAGTCATTTTGCTTTTTTGTTATTGCATGTATATGTAATTTAAAACATAACAGGTTCGTTTGTAATCTTAGCTGTGCATGTGTTTATGGCATATGACTTGGGAGGATAATTAGTTTAGGGGATGATGATGATTTAGTCACTAAATTGTGCCTAACTCTTCTGACTCCATGGACTGTAGTCCACCAGGCTCCTGTGTGCGATTAACCAGGCAAGAATACTGGAGTGGGTTGCCATTTCCTTCTCCAGGAGATCTTCCTGACCCAGGAATCGAAACCAGGTCTCCTGCATTGCAGGCAGGTTCTTTACCAGCTGAGCCATAAGAGAACCCCAATATTTATTCATTTGGCTGCACTGGGTCTTAGTTGTGGCACTCAGGTACTTTGATCTTTGTTAGGGCATGTAAGTTCTTTAGTTTCAGCATGTAGGATCTGGTTCCCTACCAGGGGTCAAATCCAGGCCTCCTGCCTTGGGAGCACAGAATTTTAGCCACTGGACCACCAAAGAATTTTAGGGGATACTATGTCTCATAAGTTAGTTCCTTTCTCTTATTTTTGGTCTTATATATGAAGAATTTCCGTGTGCATTAGTTTCCTATGGAGCTTTCCCTGTGACTCAGATGGTAAAGAGTCCGCCTGCAGTGGGGGAGACCTGGATTTGATCCCTGGGTTGGGAAGATCCCCTGGAGAAGGAAACGGCTACCCACTCCAATATTTTGGTCTGGGGAATGCCATGGACTGTATAGTCCACAGGATCACAGAGTCAGACGCTGCTGAGCAACTTTCACTTTAATTTCGTGTACTACTGTTAACTAGTTATCGCAACCTGGATGATTTAAACCACTAGTCTTCAGCCTTTTTTGGCACCAGAGACTGGTTTTGGAGAAATTTTTTCATGGGAGTGGGGTGGGGGTGGTTTTGGGATGATTCAAGCACATTGCACTTATTGTGCACTTTATTTCTATTTTGTGGCAATCTCAGGATATTCTGTGTTGACTTTAGGGTTAAGGTCTGTGCTCTTATGAGAATCCAATGCTGCTGTTGATCTGACAGGAGGTGGAACTCAGACGTTATTGCTAGTGATGGGGAGCAGCTGTAAATGCAGATGAAGCTTCATGCTGGCTAGCCTCCTATGCCACCTGGCTCCTAACAGGGTTGGGACCTCTGCCTGACTTAAGCAATACAAACGAATTATATTTTAATGGTTCTGGAGATGATAAGTCTAACTTGCGGGTTTCCGTAGGCGGAAATCAAGGTGTGATTAGAACTTGCTCTTTTCTGGAGGCTTTAGGGGAGATAATCTCTTTTCCTTTTCTAGTTTTTAGAAGCAGCCCACATTCCTTGGTTCATGGTCCTCTTCCTCTTTTAAAGCCAGCAATTTATCTTTCTGTTTTTCTCTAGTTACATCACCCTCTTAACTCTCCTATTTCCCTTTAAATACTTGTCAGTGTCCTTGTGATCATATTGGGCCTACCCAAATAATCCAGGATAATCTCCACATCTGCTCATAAACAACCTCAATTCCATTTCTATTCTCTTTTGCCGTGGAAGTTTAACATAGTTACAGGTTTCATGTATTAGGACATGAACATGAAAAATATTTTGGGGGTGGCATTCTGCCCAACACACCATGGCAGCAAAAAAACTTACATTATGAACATATGATTTGATACAAATCAATTGAGGCTAAAATGTTTATGCTGCAAGTTTTAATGATATCACTATCTGATCTCTTAAGTAAATGAGTAGATTTGTAGAAGTTTTACACAGCTGTGCTTGGATAATTTCACATACTTTGTTGGTTATGTTTAAGAAATGGCTTGAAAAATCTGGGATATTTTGGAATTATATTAACCAACAAAAGACTTTATCTGAACTCTTTTTATTTAGGAGGGCCAAGTTATTGATGAAGTAAAATAGATTTTGAGCCCTCAGCATGTTTTTTAAGCTCCATTGTTTAGAAAGTTTCTTGCTTTGTTATACATGTTGAACATTTATGACTGCCAAATGTATCAGGTTTTTTCCAGTACCCAAAAGGAACCAAAAATCATAGCATTGTGTTTTGGAGACCAAACATTTAAGTTTGTACATACGGGAATTGTCTCATGGTCACTTAGTGAGGAGTAGGTAACCATGAAACATTGATTTTGAATATTCTAAACTGTATACTGGGCTTCCCACATGGCCCAGTGGTGAAGAATCTGCCTG